GCGATGAAGGCGTACAGAGAGGCGCTGCATATAGCACTTGAGATGGGCATACACCCATACTCGGATGAGATACTTGGAATCAAGCTGCAGGTTGCTATGATGCTGGAGAAGGCTGGACTTGTGAAGCCGGCGATTGATGTGTTGGAGCGAACGAAGAATGAAACTCTGGCCTGGGTGGAGGAAATCACAGCAGGGAACGCAGCTGCCGCAGCTGAGAAAGTGAAGCAAGCGCAGACGCAGGTGCAGAAGACCCCGGTCAATGTCCAGGTTGGCACCGAGGCGATTCAGGAAACCGAGGAGGATCTGAAAGCAATGGCGCAGTACGAGGCTCGTCAGCGAGATAGGGCGCTCAAGAAGGTCGTTGGAATTGCGATGAAGCTTGGCGAGCTTTATTCCAGCGAGTATATACAGGACGAGAAGAAAGCCGAGGCGGCGCAGGTCGCTGCTGTGGAGATCTGTCTGAAGGAAATGCACCGTCGCCAGAGGTTGGGACTTCCTGTTGGCAGCTCTAGCAGTGGCGAGGGGCCGGACGGTGAGGCCTGGCTGAACCTCACTGAGATCGCGACGGCGTTGGCTGAGCTTGCTGCTACCTATACGGCCAAGGAGCGGTATGAGCTGGCCATGCCGCTATATATGCGCGCATTGGATTTGATCCGCGCTGCTGAAGGAACTTCCATATCTTGCAAACAGGTGGTGCTGCTGAACGATGTCGCTACCGCTCTGGTCGGGCAGGTTCAACTGCCCCCGAAGACTCAGCCGCAGCAACCCGTTACAGCGGAGCAGACTGTTGAGGCTGCCCAGAAGTGGGCGCAGAAGGCCATTGAGGTTGCGGCTCACATTCAACCCCCGATACGTGACGAGGAGTGTGACATTACTTGCGTGGTTGCGACGTATAACTTGGGCGAGTTGGCTGAGCTTCAAAAGAAGCCAGATGTCGCTAAGCAGCGGTATACCGAGGCTAAGGCCTTGGCCGATGGGATTGGATATGAGGAAGGGAGTGTGATGGCCAAGGAGGCCTTGAAGAGACTCGGAAAGAAATAATGGGTAGATCCGTGAAGGCGTCTTGTTTCAGCCTGATGTACATTATGATATAGAAATCTCACACCATTCCTGTACATGATTTGACGCTCCTCGAAAGGTACACACGGCGGCCATCATACATGCATAGTACGTAGCATTACCCTATATAGATAGCACAACTGGGAGGACAAATGAGAAGGAAGATGTGTAACATAATAAAAGACATACGGTACGATGGTTTTACAAGAGATGCTTAAATAAGAAAAATAGGAAACATTTTGATGCCTTAACTGGTATTAGAACATCACATGTCTTGTACAAGATTCCATACATTTTGCATGCGGATCAAGTAGGCTAGACATGTCAGAAAACCTCCAGGCCGGGGACTCCTCAGTCCCGGCGAGAAGTGCTTCATTGCTCGTGGCTCATACATCCCAAACCAATGCTCTTCTGGCCATATCTTTTGAACTTTTTTTCAATTCCCTTGTCAATAGATCAAAAAGAGGCTCCTCAAGCTCCGATACAACAACTCAAATCTATGCCCGCGACATAACACCCCAGGCGCGGATCTTGTTGTCGGTGTAACCAGCGAACAGGGTCTGGCCGTCAGCGGACCAGGCCAAGCTGATGCACTCGGGGTCACGGCTCTTCTTGCCCTTCTCAACGAACTCAGGCTTGAGCTCATCAACCTTGCTCTTCTTCTCGAGGTCGAAGATGGTGATGGAGCTGCTGGTGGCAGCGCACAGCCAGTAGCGGTTGGGGGAGAAGACGAGAGCGTGGATCTCATCGCCAGCGGAGAGGGAGTAGAGGTGCTTGGACTCGTTAAGGTCCCAGAGCATGGTGGTACCGTCCTTGCCACCGGAGGCGCAGAGGGATCCGTCGGGGGAGATGGTGACGGTGTTGATGTATCCGGTGTGACCGATGTGGTCGGTCTGGAGACGGCAGGAAGCGAGTTCCCAAACCTAGACGCGGATCAAATGTTAGCGTCGGTACCCTCATAAAGAATATCAAGTCAAGGAAGAAATTTTCCAATCATTCTCTCGTTCAATGAAAAACAAAAAGATTGTTGCTGTGCCCATCAGGCATTAGGTGAAAATTGTCTCATGGCCCCGAAGGGCTCTGAAGTAGCAAATACGTTTATGCAAACATCACGCGGGCAAAGCAAGGTGGGGAGGAAATTCTGCGAGGAAATTCGGAGTCGATAGCGTACCTTGACGAGCTTGTCCCAGCCGGCGGAGACAATGACGGGGTTCTGGGGATTGGGGCTGAAGCGAACGCAGGAAACCCACTCGGTGTGGCCCTTGTCGGTGATGGTGAACTTGCAGTCACCGAGGGTGTTCCACAGCTTGATGGAGCGGTCACGGGAACCGGAGACGATCTGACGGTTGTCGGCGGAGAACGAGACGGACAGAACATCGTTGGTGTGGCCGACGAAAGTGCGGGTGGTGTTACCGGTGGAGAGCTCCCAGAGACGGAGAGACTTATCCCACGAGGCGGACAGAGCGTAGGCACCGTCGGAGGAGATCACCTATAACGCAGACAAGACCATCGGTCAGCCAAAACCATTCGATCTTTTATTTTCATTTCGAAATGCGCCATCCAATCCAACTGTCGCATCCAATGGTTTCGTGGTTCATCCGGGAGAAGAAAAACGTACACAGTCAGAGACGATGTGCGAGTGACCCTCGAGGCTGCGCTTGGGGTAACCGTAGGCCTGCTCATCACGGGTAAGGTTCCAGATGATCAGGGTCTTGTCGCGGGATGCGGACAGCAGCATGTTGGGGCTATTATCAAACATCCAAGTCAGAATTTTGTCCCTTCAAAAATTCAATCCCCGATCGGGATAGGTCGTTCTTACTTCTCCAGGGAGGTGGCGAGGGAAGTAACCCAGCCATTGTGGCCCTCAAGGGTGCCGCGAAGAACCAGCTGCTCAGCCATTATGGGAATGAGACAATGAAGGAGAGAGAGGGATGGGCGGAGATTGTCGTTGACTCTAGGGGGGAGGTAAAATCGAGATGGGAGGCAGACGTGCCCGCTCAAGCCCTAAGCCGCTTCGCTGCTCTCCTTGTGTGGTTCCGTGGAGCCCTAATACTAAGCGAAGCAGTCACATGACTTGCATCTATACAAGCTCCGGGCTCGACAATGTATATTGAAGATAGAGAGAGAATTGAATGTCCATTTGCATTCAAGTTTTCTCTGTCATATTCGAAATTAATACTTAATTTGTTTTTCTATCCCAATATTTGAATTCTACACCCATTGACCCCAGTACAATCAAATATACAAGATTCTTAATCCACACCTCCTATGGACAATATGACCACTATGACAACTATAGTACAGTTTCGAGATCGACAGACTTTCTGAGTCCAATCTCTTCCACAGGCCCCTTACGAGTTAAACACCTGAACATCAGGCATTCTTCCCAAGCCACCACCACCTGTCTTCTTATTCTTGGCCTTCTCAAAGCCAGTAGCACTCTTATCGCGAACATGCTCTCTGAGCAGCGTCAGAACCTCGGAGTTCTGCCAGCGCGACGGTACAGGCCGGTAAGCCGCCCTGAAAGCGCCAATGGTCTGCGCCCATTCACCGCTCTTGGCACCGCTCTCCTTCCAAGTCTCGGTGATGGTATCCTCATTAGGAGCGGAGGGTGAGATCTCTTCTGGTGAGTCCTGTGTCGCCCAGTAGTAGATGTCCCAGTCGTTTTCGTCGAGGAAGCTGTCATACTCGACGAGCTGGTCGTAGTTCATCTTGCCCAGGTAGACATCTGCGAATGTCGAGAGGAGCAGGTCTGACTCCAGGATTCCGCGCTTGCGGCTTTGGTCTGGTGTGGAATTGGTTAGCTTGAATGCTTCTTGGTATATTGATGCACCAAATCCTCGGCTTTAGCATTGATACCGAGGTGCAAGCATGCATGGGAACGGGTACGAACATAACAGGCGTGCCCTCTTCGTCGCAAGCTCCTCCCCAACTCTCTTCAAAGGCTCAACCTTAAACGTAATACCCTCCATCTCACCAACGCCAAGCTCGGGCTTCTGCGCCCCGTTATCCTGACGACCACCAGTGAAATGCTCAATCCTTCCGGGGTACGGATCAGACGGTCTGTAGTTGGGGTTGGCTGTGTTCAGCATCTCCGGGGGCGCGGGCTTCCTGCCGACATTGACGAAGTCCTTTGTCATGGTGGAAGTTGTGTTGGGCACGAATTGGTTCGGGGAATTGTTGGCCTGGTTTGCGCGGTGCGCCTTTACCTCCTGGGGAGCTTTGTCGCTGCCATCTTTCAGGCGTAGAGCTGTTGCGCCGAATTGGCGGTTTGGTCTTGTGATTGTGCTTATGGATGATGGCACTGGTCGCGATAGGCGATGAAGTAAACGTGGGGCGGACATCTTGTCTAGCAGTATCCTATAGAGAGTTGGGACTTTTTTCTCTCTCTAGGGATTCAGGAGTTGGCGTTTGATGCTCGGCTTTGACATCATCTGGTGTAATAGCCCGGGGAACCGAAAAGCTCCTGCTATGCCCGGTGTTTGTTCTGTTTGCAATGCTAAACATTCCACTGAGGCCGTGAATTACACACTTCTCGACTCAGCGCAATTCTTTAGATTCCTATGTGTCTATTGGGGCCTTTTGGGACTTTGAACTGGCGCATTTTTTTGTTCGCTGTCTTGGCCTGTCTGTCCTTTCGACTTCACTAAACTCGGAATCCCTCTACAAGATATCGATCTAGATGTATACACTGACCTCATGTAGACATCTAAAGCTCCTCCCTCCAGGGCTACCTACCAAGGTACTGACTATGTAGGTAGTAGTGATTTACCAGCGTAGGTAGGTCTTAATCCATCATGGACATGCACTTGGGTAATACCTCACTGGGCAAAAAGGAGCCCATAGCTAGCCAACCATCCCCAAGACATCACATGTGAGAAACAGAAATATTATTAGCGCCAGGCTGCAGAAAGCATGGTGTACATTTTATATCATTGAGATCATGACTGTTGAACAGAATGCCACTCGACATTAGAGCAAAAGGATTTGCAATGCAACCGCTGCAAAACCAAAAAAGAACCATCAAAGATGCAACCATTCCAGGGACTAGTAAATCTAGATAAGGTGCTTAGATCTACAAGAACCAAAAAGTCAGTAACCAATTCCACCTCCAGCCACAACCACAATTCGACATACCTGAAGTAAGCCCTCAGGTAAACAACCTGCCAAGCACCAAGCCCGATAAGCATACCCATGGTCCCGAAAGCGAACCACTTCACGCGCTCGTTGGTGCTCTCATTGGTATCACGCAGACGCTGCTCACGCGCACGCAGGTACTCCATCTCGGTCACGATATCGGCGACCATCTCCTCGATGCGGCGGAGGTCTGTCTCAACGGGCTTGAGCTTCTCCTGCGACTGGATGCTGTTCCAGTCGCGGGCGTCGGCGCCAATGTCGACGTCAAGTTCGATGGGGCGGGAGGGGTTCTGGATGGTGTCTGATGGGGGGGTGTTGTTTTAGTATCGCTTTCTCTTTAACTCTGGCTTTTTCCCCGGTGAATTGCTCGTGTTCGAGGGGACTACCACTTACTGTGGCCGACAAGCTGGTTCTCAAAGCAGACGTCGAAAGCCGTGTCCGCGGGCGAAGTGAAAAGCTGACGCGTCTCGCCGACGACATCCTTAGGGCGACCGTAGTCATTGCCCATAGCGTCCTTGATCTATACACAGAAAAGAATTAGTCGCGGTCCTCAACTCAGCAGTCCGGCGGGTTGGCTTCCAACTCCCAGCAGACCCAGGACGGAATCCCATCCACATCCAGCAATCATTCCACATACATGAATATTGACTTTCTGGCCATCACCCTTCGAGCCGCCAACGATGGCAGTGACAACGACGAGCTGGTCCTTCGAGACGAAGTTGCGAATGCATCGCTCGTTCTTGCCGCCGCCGGAGGTGGCGACGAGGTCGAATTTTAGGGCACTGGCGAGCTGGACGAAGACAAAGAGGAAGTTAAGGATGGCCCTCAACGTGACTGGTGAGGTGCCCATTGTTGCGGCGTGGAATTGGCGGTTGTAAACACGGTTGCTTGCTATTGATGACACCTGGTAAGGGGAGTGCGGGATTAACTTTGTTCCGGTTACGGCCTGTGATCTATACTCCGACTGAGCGAGGATTTCCTCTTTCACACAGCAAATATTGCTGGGGTCTAATTGCTTTGTATTTATGTACAATGAGTTATTACTACATATTGGAGCCATAGTGTCCACAGAAAAATGATATGGTTTCTGAGTGTCAGGGCATTAAAAAATAGCCCAAGTATAGAGTAGACATGGTATCTCGAAATCCACGAAGTCAAAGCGACGTCCCAACGAAGAGACAAATAGAAAACCCGAAGTCCGTATTAATCGTTTAGTCGCACGCAGGAAGGTAGAAAATAATGTTGCGCACAAAAGCGCAAGAAAAGATAGGAAAAAGCCACCCGGTCGTAGCCATAGTAAACAATAAGGAAAAGAGGACGTGAGTCTATACGAACAAAGTAAAGAGAAAGGAGATGGTAAAGATCGCAGTGCTGTTGCACAAACAAGAAAGGCCGAAGCGATGGACATGATATGTAGATCGTTAGATGAATTAGAACGCTCAGCAAAGCAAGACATTAGTCGAGAATGTCGTCAGGATACCTTCCACCAATTAGGCCTCGACCTTCTTTCGGCGCGCAAAGAAACGGGAGAAGCCACCGTCCTTCGCTTTAGAGCCCATTGGTGTTGATGAAGATCGCGTAGGGCCCGGAGGCCCGGTGTTTCGGAGGAAATCCGCCAAATCACCGGTGTCGGTCCGGCGGTTTGAGATAGAAGGCATGGTGCCATTGTTGCGCTCCTGACCAACCTTGGCAGAGTAGTCGGACTGGACCTTGGTAGGGGCGTTTTGTGTGCGCAGGGAGTTTTGAGAAGCGCGGAGTAGGCGGGCCTTCATGCCAGATGCACCATTTGATGCATGAGAACTAATTGCAAATGGCTGTGGGGTTTGTTCGGAGGGAGGGGGAGCGTTGCGCAAGAAATCCATCAAGCTCTCCTCCTCGCGCTTAGGCTTGGGATTTTGTTCCTTTTCCAGAAGCTCTTCTAGAAGCGCGTCATCGTCATCGTCGTCAATGGCGTAAGGATCCGGAGCACGGCGTTGCTTCCGAACAGGCTGGGGCTCGTCGAAGTCTGTGGCGCTTCCCGATGCTGGAGCCTTGTTTCGGTTTGAATCCAGCAAGCCGGACCGCGAACCAAGAGATGTCAAGGATTTATTGGGCGTGGATCCATTACCAGTGCTCACGAAAGAGTTGGATGTGGTGTTATCCAGACGAAGATCATCCGAATCAATTGTGTTGCGGAAAGGTGCAACTGTCCGAGGAATCCGGTGAGCACCTGCAGGCATAGGAGGTCCCTCACGAATGAAGTCTATGAGATCAGAAGTCTGAGATCCTCTCGTCTCAGCAGACCGAGCTTGAAGCTTAGGTCGGTTTCCACGTGAGGCAGTGGAGAGAGTTGATGGAGCACGAACAGGCCGCATGCTCTCGGCAGAGAGAGAGGTCTTAGACTCGTTTGGCCCACTAGCAGGGCCAGTCGATCTCATGAATTCCGCGAAGTCGCGTGTCGAATCGGAGGGTGCGATTCGCGCATCCCGCGCCTGTCCAATCTTGCTAGACCTCGACGTTGATGACATGTTGGTCAAGCGCGTGGTAAGCGGGATGTGCTTGGGTGACTCAATGGATCTGGTGTGCGAGATTGGAGTCATCTCTCCAGTTGCTTTTGAGGAAACAGAGGCGTGAGGACGGTGTTTATCTTCTCCCGGTGGTGCGGTTGTATTTAAGAACTCAGCCAGGTCGGAGACGCCTGCCGTCTCCGATCGAGGAACTGATCGGTTGGGCAAGTCAGGTAAGGTCATCTCCCTCACACTTCGCGGAGTAAGGGTGTAATGGATAGTCTCATCACTGTTGATCAACTTGTCCAAATCGGCAATATCGTCGTCTACAGAGTCTACGCTCCCAGATGCGCGACTGGTTTCAGACGAGCTGCGCATGCGGGGCGAACCAGATTCACCCAGTGGTCGACCCATGAGACCCTTCAACTTGCTAGAAACGTGCGATGTGGCAGAGCCAGCAGTCACTGGACGCGTATTCTCGCGAGCACTGCCGAAGCTCCCAGACCGACGGGTTTTAGGGATGATAGGTGAAGACGCCGATGTGGATGGCCGAGACATGCGCTGAACAGCGGCTCGTTCAACTGTGGAGGCGGAGGCGTACGCAGGGGAGCTTCTGTTGCTGGCTGTGACCTCCAACGGAGCAGGTCTGGGGCGAGTTTTCGATCGCTGTGAATTACCTGAGCTAGAAGTCGGGCGAGTGGTATCGACGGGGAGAGATTTTGAAGATTTCGCCGTTTCGGTGTATGCCTCTGTTGGCCGAGCCGGAGGGGTGGTGGTCGTGGTCATATTATTCTGATTATCGGTCGCATCGTGATCGATACAAGATGTGATAGCCTCGATGGGGGGTGCGGGTGGAGCCGGCGTGGTCTCGACCCCTTGCGTTGAAGACTCACTCTCCGCAACGGCTTGCATTCCAGAATCGCTAGTCTGCTCAGAGATCGACTTTGCATTCAGTAGGCTGACATCCCTGGAGGATTGTCGTTTTGGTCGTTGTATCGTCGAAGTCAATTTAGGCTTTTCGCACAATCCAGTGCCCTCAATCACTTCTGGGTCTTTCTGATTCGGCCGATCGTCCAAGGATACGACGGAGACGCGAGCACTATTGGATTGATCGGTCATAGCGTCTTCATCTTGTGCGATAGCGCGCAAGGATGCAACCATCTGGCTGACAGGAGGCGTCTCCTCTTCTTCTTCATGCAAGATCGACATTCTCGTATTTTCGGAAGCTTCTTCTGCAGGTTCAAAAGACGGTGTCTCTTCATGTTCTGTCTTGACAGCAATGCTAGGGGTAGTAGTTTCTGCTGCATCCACATATTCTGCTGATTCATCATCCTCGTACATAGTCTCGAGTTGCTTTTTCTCCGATGCGGTGGGTGATGGGTGTTCTGTCGGCGACTCTGGCTCCTCCTCAGCTGAGTTGGTTGTGGGTGCCTCATTAGGTAGAGACCTCGTACGAACATGACGGAATGATTTGCCGGGTTCAATAGCCGACGCACTCACGGGTGAGCTGTTAACTGAACCTAGAGATTTTGGCACAAGCGAGGGCGACGAAAACACCATCAGACTACGCGGTCGCACCTTGTGAGCGATAACGGCCTGCATGGTTTGCACCTCCCCATCTAGATCGCCAATGTAGCCCGGGACCTCGATCTCTTGAACATCGTAATCACTCATTGGCAAGGGGACAGTGGCGGGGTCTAAAGGCGGGGGGATCGCCACCGGGAGAGGCTCCTTGGGAGTCACTGGTTCCTCAATGGTCACAATGCTGCTCTTTCGGCTGTTTGCCAGGGAGTAGCCCCGTGGGCGGAACGATTCACGGGATAGCGTTCGAGAAAGAGTGGTTCCGCGTCTGCGCTGCCTCCACGTACGCCACAGGCGACCCAGGGTGGCATTCAGGGCCAACTTTTCCATATCGAGATCTTCCACGACAAGTCGGTCGATTCTTTTGCGCTCATCTCCAGACCCACTCAGCTCATCGCCATTGTTGAGCTGTGCGGACAAACGTGATCGCGATGTCTCGCCGGCAATGACGAGTGCGCGCTCGCCAATGTATTCGATGATCGAGGTAAGGAAAATAGAAGCTGCAGGTGTAATATTGTCGACATGACTGGTAAATCTGCGGGGCGCTCCATCGGTCTCTCCAAGTCTATCTTGTGCGATAAACTCGTCTTCGTCGTCCTCTTCCATGTCGCCCAGTCGTGTGTAGACCATGCAGCGTAGACGGGTTAACTTCCATGAGCGTACTAGATCAAAATCACCGCCGGGCTCCTGGCCACCGCGGAATTCCGTCTGTTCATCGTCCGCTCCGCCCATATATTCGCTCAACTCTTCTTCAGCTGAGGCCACAACTTCCTTGGCCAGGCGGGGCTTCAGTACCTCGGCCATGGCGGGTCGAATGCATGCGAGCTGGGTCGACTTGGACGAAGCGAGGATATTAAATAAGAGGTTATCGAGGAATCCGTTCAGGAGCGATAGCGCGGCCGGAGTCACCAGCGCCGTGGCACCGGTCCCGGTTTCCTCATCCTCAGCGACAAAATCGGCGGCATTGAACTCCTGGTCGGCAGAGATGATCTCTGAAGCTGCAGATGGCGAGATGAACGCTGGGGACGGCGTTACGGACGGTGGTGACATGAGGTTGACTCGAGAAAACTGCGAATCGGTAGAAACGACGCTGGGGCTGCGCGAACGGGACGCGGCCCCGGTGTCCAGGAAGTCGGGTGCTTTGATGGATTGCATTGTGTAGCCCAGGTATATTTAGGTCGAGGGCTCGAGGACTCGAGAGCTTTAGTCTGCCTCTTTTTCTGTGTTCCTTCGCAGACCTCGAGTTGGACGGGAAGGCGCTGGGTAGAAATCAAAATTTCTAAATCATCCTGTACTCCCAGGAAGGTCAGTCTGACACGATTCTGCGGGTGAAATCTGACTTGAATGAAATCGGGGGCTTGTACGACTGCATGCGCAACTTCGCCCCGATGGGCCCCCGTGACAATGGAAGGGTGGATTTCCAACTTACCCGTTTGAATCAGAGATGCGATCAGTGCTCATATCGCATTGGCATAGGGGAAGTAGAAAGAAGCAAAGGATGAGAGATAATCACCTGTGAGGGCCAGGAGAGAGAGAGTCAGGAGTAATTATTCCATCCGAGGCAGTGGGGACTTAGGAGCATTCGGGGTCGACTACCGAATAATTTATGGAGCAGCTACAATTATATACAACATGCTCCGTACTCCGTACAAATCTTACAATCTTACCTGATTACACTTTTCTTTTTGGGGTTGCATTGTAAAGACCCCTGCACCTTATTTAGGCTATCCCTCTATTTTAAACGCCGTACGGAGTAACCTATTCAGATACAGATGTAGATAGGCAGTTATTGTACCATGTATATCCATGGATCTTATTGAAGAATTATTCAAAGACGGTCTTCCCCCTTATTCGGAGAAAGCAAAAAAGGAAACCCCATTGCAACCGCGCCCCACGGAAAAAAAACAGAACAATGTTCCAGCGATCGGCACGCTAAGGTGCCCCGCTCGCACTTCGTTTCAGGCCTCATTGGTTGTGGGCAGCCAATCATTGAATGACGTTCCATGGATTCGGGCGGCGGGGGTCTCAGTTAGCCTTTAGCGCCATTCCTTTCTGGTACAATTATTGATTTTTGCTCGACTCATTCCTAAAAAGAAGTTTGCCCCAGGTGCACACAGGGTATACTCCGTATGGGATTTTAAGGCGGTGCCTCGGGAAGTATTTGTAATTGTGATATCTGATAACTATCTGAATAACTATCTCATTTAAGTATGACCCGGTAATACTACGGGGCACATTCGGTAGTGCAGCTGTTAACGCATAACATCCTTTTTCCACACGTTCCTCAGCCGTTCCACATGTCCCAGGGGCACACGAGGATAAGCCTGTGGCGCAGAAATGCCATGCTACGGGAAGCCGGTCCCCATTTTCCAGTTTCTAGAAACTTAATGAATACATATTACACCATTTGAAACCTTGGAACACTTTAGCTTCTGAGACAAATATCTCAAATTATATCAATCTCCCCAATCAGCTTCTGCTTCGGTGGCCCCCTATGTGACGCGCACCCGTACCTTCCTCCAGGGCTGATCTGAACCATTTATTCATTAACTCTGGATCCTCCAATCAATTCCTTTTTCGAATTCTCACCCATGGAAGACCACTCCATTAATTTTTGGAGGACCCTACCTAAGCGAATGAGAGGCTGAGAAGCCAATCTCATTTTATATGGCATGCTGTAGCTGAAAACGTGATAATACGAAGTCCATACAGAATGTACGGAGTAATCCGATCTTCCCGTGCCCACCTGAACACTCAACATCGGAGATGACAGGACTTCGGGTCAAGTGGGCCCATGTGGCAATGAACAATAGGGTGCTCCAACATAGCGCGCGCTAGCAGTAACTAACGATCACAATGGATATTGTCACAAGACATGAATCATGCAAGAATATCAAGCTTCCTACAGATATCCCGGAACAAGCAATGAATAAATGTAAAACGCACAAATTGTTCTCGCACCTTGCAGGGCTGCTCGATAGATCTAGTGATATATCAGATCCCATCCTCATGCATATTCCCTGATCTATACGAGGTACCACCCCTCAGCCCTAGAAGCAGCTTACTATGTGTTACTATGTGCAACATCAACATCCCAGCACCTCGTCCGGGTACCAGCTTCAGCCCATCTCACGCAGGAGTCACCCGTATCGCACAGCGACACAGCAAACGGTATACTCTGTGGCCAATGTTGAGATATCGTCATTCTCACTGATTCCCCGAAACCCCTCACTCAACGGGCCCGTCTGCATTTCCATCCCCGGCAACCCCATCGCACAATAGCACGCGTGTCTATGACTACAATTCATAATCATCCTCAGAAAAGAAAACTTGGTTCCCCTAGCGACCCCTGGCCCGTATCCTATCCCCAAACTCCATTGTGGGAGCTAACATACAAGGTACCCCATACGGAAAGAAAGACTCTCCACTCTAGCCTCTAGCTGTCAGACCCTTCATGGCAATCTCTCCTGGGTCCACAGTCTAGCTGTACGGGGACTCCAATAAAGCCAAGGATCCTGCCGCGATCGACAGAACACTGACTATTCGGATTGATGGATTAGCCGAATATCTCCGCGATTTCTTCTTCGTCTGTCTATTTATCCGTGGGACTCTTCACGCTTGAGACTCATACAACATGGATGACACAGTACGGTGTACTCCGTACGGAGCACATTGTATGCTCTGCTCTACATATGCATTCCTATTGGCTGCTCGCTCAGCGACCCGCATGCTATACAGCAGAATATCTTCCGGATTAGGAAAGTCGTGATCGTCAATGATCGACAGCGAGTACCAACGACGAGGAAAATGGCAGAGAAAAGAGGAATCAAAAGCCTGCTTCGGCCCGCTCATGTTCACCGCATCGTTTTAAAAGTCTAAACGAAAGCCCCCTAATCCGTATTCTCTACTTTAATGTACGTTTTCCCTTTCTAAGGTTCTTCCCCGGGCTGTCCGTGCTCTACACCGTTGTGATCGACAAATTTAATTAAAAACGGCGATTCGACACTTCAACTTTGGATATGCACGAATTCTTTTTTATATGATATGTTACGCCGTTGTGGTCGACAAGACATATATTGTAGAACGGCGAGTCGACACTTCAACTTTGCATATGCACGAGTCATGCTTATATGATATGTCACTCCGAAACAGTCACATTTTCTCCGAAAGCACAGGTGTATAGTGGATAGGTCCAAGTTTACAACTAGAATATGAGGGAGGACCTGTGGAATTGACGCTGAAAATGACCGCTTTTGAGGCCAGAAACGGCTGCCTTTCCACCCAGACCGCCCACTGCCCTGTAACACCACTATTCTGCACCCGTTTAGCACTGTTGATGTTGACGCTCGACTTGCACACTTGTTCCACTCGTTTCCACTAGCGACTTAAACGACGCTGAAAATGACCCCCCTTTAGCCAAATCCAAATCCCCTCCTTTTTGGCCTAGTCTAGTTGAGGGTCTATAAGATAACACCGACTTCCACCGGTCAACATTACAGCGTCCCTAACCCTCATTCAAAATGTCTTTTTTTGACTATGTCAAATGAAATCGTGCTCCTGATTGCGCAAGCAATACAATCGCAAAGAGATCTGGCTGCTCTGGCGCAAGTTAACCGCCGGTCATATCATCTGCTAAAGCATGCCTTATATCAATACAATCTTCACCGTCACAACGGCCATGGCATTCTTCAGGCGGCTAAGCAGGGAGGTAGCCGAGTTCATTGAAGTGGGATACCGCGTGGGAGATCGCCTCACCCACAAGGAACATCGACCAAGACCTGGCAATGCAGGAGGGATCTTATGTTCATGTCGTCTAGAGCACCCGATCTTCTATGCCGCCGAGTGTGGGCACTCCGATCTCGTTAAATATCTGCTGAACACAGGTTCGGGCCCGGACTTTGAGAACAGCCATGGACAAACACCTATGCATTTGGCGGCAAAAAATGGGTTTCTCTTAGTGGTCAGGATATTGCTAGATGAGAGCGGCTCGACACTACCCATGGATGGCGACACCAGTTTCTCCTCTTCTCCTATCCAACAGGCCGCATTGGAAGGACATCAGCACATCGTGGAATATCTCTTGTCCCATTCTCAAACCCCACGCGACCATGCTACTATATCCCTTCCGGCTGCCGCTGTATCCAGTGATATAACCCTAATATCAATGCTCCTTGCATATGGATCGGACATCAACTACCAGGATATCAAACGCCATGCTCAGAGAGAATCTGAATCCACATGGGGGACCATGGTATGCACCGGCAGCATTATCATCGGCAGCTAGTCACGGCCACCCAGCACTGGTTGAATTCTTACTTGACGATGGGTCCGACATTAATCGCAAAACGGGTTTTCCCGTCAACGGGGCGACTCCATTGTACTTGGCAGTTGAGAAAGGCCATGAAACTGTCAGTAAGACACTTCTGGCTCATGGTGCTCATATTAGTAATGGATGCTTACGTGAAGCTGTGTTACAGTGCAACAAGGAAGTACTTGAACTACTCTTCACCAAGCTAGGGCATGATAAATGCCAAACCAATCTCTTAGAAGTTGCAGCAATAGGTGGCGAAATGGAGATATTCAAGATGCTATTGGATAAAGGGTTTAACCAGGAGGGGGCTTTGGTGGAAGTAATCGACCACGGTCATGAAGAAATTGTGGCCCTCCTTCTTGAACAAGGGACAGATCCGGATGTACCAAGCATCCGCAAAGGTGCCATCGGTCGTGCAATTGGCCGTCTCCATGTCGGCATCATGGAAGCATTGTTGCGCTATGGGGCTCATGCCCACCCTGAGGATTTGAGATTCGCTAGAGCTTTTGCTCCTAAGCATACAGCGGCGTTGGCAGAACAATTTCCTGTTTTCTCCTTCACGAGAAAATCTATGTTTCCGCCCAAAGATAATGGATATCAATTTTGACTACGCCGCTAGGAGGCTCGGAGTTAGGAATATAGATGGATGATGATCTAAAACTAAGATAGAATGTTGGTGGCTTTTCATCATATTAGCTCTGCCTAGTTGTGGTATCGGCATGACCGGATTGAGGTATGCATACGCTTCGTTTAAGCCTCGCTCGCGGATATTCATGCTAGATGTATTCGTTTTTGCTGATGGCCCGATGTGACTAGCTAAGTATACTAGTGAAAAGAAATATGG